TGTTAGGTGCCATCAAGTCAGCACCAACCCATAGCAACCTTATGCACAGCAGAACAAAACACTGCCCGATCTTGGGCCAACCTCACTACTGTTGTCACTCTTGAGTCCATCAATGCTACCACTTGGCCAATCCATCTCGTTGGGGGTCTTCCTCTTTTTCTCTGATCCTCCACCTTACTAAACATGATATCCTTCTCCAGTGACTAGTCCCTCCTGACAATATGTCCAAAGTATGAGAGACGAAGTTTGGCCATCTTGGCCTTCAAGGAGCACTCTGGCTGCACTTCTTCCAAAACAGATCTATTGGTTCTTTTGTCAGCCCATGGCACTTTCAATATTTTCCTCCAACACCATAACTCAGAAGCATCTAAGAGTTGGGATGAGGGTTAAAGGAGTGCCTGCCTACGTGAGTTTTACAGAAGAAGTGAAGCACAGATGACAGTGAAGGGCCATGGTCTAGACACCAGGGACCTGGGCTCTGGTCTGGTTCTCACTGTTTGGACAGGTGACCACCCCTCTCTGGGCTCAATTTCCCATCTGTCTCTGTGGCCACCCTGGGCTCCGAGGCCTCTCCCATCTGCATACCTTCAGCCTCTCCCTGTGCTGTGATTCCAGAATGTGGGCCAAAAGGGCGAAACTCGAGTTGGAATGTTTGTGCACTCAGAAAGAAAGGAGGCCCAGGATACCTTTTCAGAAATCACATACTGTCTTGCAAATCAGGTAACAGAGAAGATCTCCATGAAGGAGCTAATTGTGTGGGCCCAACAGAAACCCCACTGGGCTCTGTTATCTCCACCCACTCTGTTTTCTCTTCTCCTGAAACTTGGTAAGGGATCTCTAAAAGTATCCACTTTGAGATCACAATGATACAAGAATCCCAGGTTTCAGATTTCCCATCCCTACTCCCAAATCCTGGTGCAGCATTGTGGGTTAATGTGTTGGACTGTAAAGTTGGTTTGAACTGCAAGGTCGGTGGTTCAAGCTCACCAGCTGCTCCTCAGAAACCCTATTCAGGATCGCTATGGGTTGGAATCGACTTGATGGCACTTAACAACAACAACTCCCAAATCCAAGGTGCCTTGGTGGCACTGTGGTTAAAACACTTGGCTTCTAACAGGAAGGTCAGTGGTTCAAATCCACTGGCAGCTCCATGGGACAAAGATGTGGCTGTTTGTTCCTGTAAAGATGTATAGCTGTGAAAACTCTAAGACCGTGTAGCGGTACTCTGTCTTACCGGAATCTACTCAATGGCTTTTGTTTGTTTTTACTCCCAAATCCACTCTCACGGTTTCTTTCAGGCTAGAGTGAAAGGGGCACACACTTAGGAACCTGTTTGAAATCTGATGAGCTCGAAGAGCCTTGGGTTCTATTGCCTCCAATGGGGACCTGCAGGGAGGGCTGGTAGGGGGAAGAGCTGTCTGTCCAGAGGTACCGAGGCCCTGGGAATTTGCTGTGGGATCAGATGCCCTGATATTTGGGCGAGGCATTGAAGGGGAACATGTGTGGGACCTCTTTGCCAATTTCCAAGTGGATCAGAGCTCAGGTTACACACAGGGCTGAGAGGACTCCTCCACCTGCCTCTCGGCACTCACTTGGATCTGACCCTTATTCTTGCCCTGCTTGTAGCCACAGCCTGATCTATTCTCAGTCCCCTCCTGGCGGCTCAGAACAACTCTAGCAGCACAGAGGGCCAGGGACAACAGACCTGTGGGGACCGTCACTTCTCCTCCATGGAGACAGTAAAGCCTGGACAATGTGGCAGGTAGTGCTGTGGAAAGGGAGAGGGTCCTTCCTTATCTTCAGGAAAGAACAGTCCCACCTTGCTGAGCAGGATGGTGGAGGCTCCCACACCAGCCCCTTTCACCTCTCATTCATCTCTCCAGTGCCCGTCCAGTCCATCTGTCCTCATAGCCAGCTCCCTAAACCACAAAGCCACAGACAGTTACTGCCCCTGCTGGGCTCCTAGGACCCCAAGAAGCATCATCTACACTCTTCTGTCTGGCATGCAAATCCTGCCCCTGACCCCATTAGTTTAACCCTAACTCCTTTGCCTCACCTGACCCTCCACAGAAACCACACTGAGATTTACCATCCCCAGTTACCTTTTGTCCCTGAGGCTTTGCTGTTGGCATTGACTTAGCCTGGAATTCTTTGTTTTTATTCTCAACTTACAAAAATTCTGGGCCTGGTTCCAAAGTCACCTGCTCTGTGAAGCCTCCCACCAGTAAGAATGAATCCTTTCTATGAGCTCTCTGTCTGCTCCCAGTTCGAACAGAGTCAATGATGCCCTCTTCCCGGCCATGCTGAGCCCTTGACAGGCAGAATCCCAGTCAGACTCACCTGTGGGTGCCCAGCAGAGGACCTGGCGCCAGTTACGTGTATCCAACGGAATACAAGTAGCTACATCCCCTTTCATTCCCACCTTTTAAGGCTGCTCTGATACCTCTATGAAACTGTAGGCAGAAGTTATTGTTGTTATTGTTAAGTGCCGTGGAGTCGGTTCCGACTCATAGCGACCCTGCATAGAGTTTCTAAGGCTGTAAATCTTTACGGAAGCAGAACGCCTCATCTTTCTCCTGTGGAACCGCTGGTAGCTTCGAACTGCTGACCTTGCGGTTCACAGCCCGATTCGTAACCACTACGCTACTAGGCAGAAGTAGAACAGAATAATTTTACAGCGATAAAGCCTGAAGCTGATTGTTCCTTACCCACATGGCTTGTTTTTACTGAAACCCAATCTGATGGGAAAAGATGGTGCAGGGGAGTAAGGAAGGGATTGCAGCTCTAGCCACCAAGGGTGACTTCTCATCAACTTGAGCAGCCTCCTCAGGGGAACTACCTCCTCACAGCTGAGCCAAAAAGAGTCATAAAAAACAAGATGAGGTAAGCCCTGCTGGAGGAGTTTCTCATTCTGCAGCGCCTGGGACACAGGATGAGGATTCTGTGGGTTAACGCACTGGATGGCAAGGTTGGTTTGAACTACAAGGTCGGTGGTTCAAACTCGCCGGAAGCAACTCAGAAACCCTATACAGGGTCACTATGAGTTGGAACTGACTTGACAGCACTTAACACCAACAACAACAATCCTATCTGGAAGGAAGACCTGAAAAGGAGCCAACCAACTCCCATCATTTCATGGATGGGGACACAGCCCAGGGAAGCACAGCATCTTACCCCAGGCTACCTGGAGCATAAGAGGAAATGGCTGGGCAATAACTGGTACATCAAACCTCTAAAACAGTTGTTGCTGAGTCAACTGTGACTCAGCAACTCTGTGTGTGTCAGAGTAGAACTGTGTTCCATATGGACTTTAACAGCTGTTTTTTTTGGAAGTAGGTCTCTAGGCATTTCTTCCAAGGTGCTTCTGGGTAGACTCAGATCTCCAAAGCTTTAACCTTTTGGTTAGTAGCCTGGTACATCAACTGTTTGCACCACCCAGGGTTCCTCTCAAACTTCTATGTTTTTCTTGCTAAACTGCGTTCCTCCTACATTAGCAGTGATTAGTTGAGGGTTAGTATCATGAACTGAATTGTGCACACACACACACACACACACACACAAATTTGTCCGTTTGGTTGAGGCATGATTCTCAGTAGTTTGGCAGCTAAGTAATGATATAAGTGGCACCTCGTACTAATCCTCCCTGATGTGAACTGATATGAAAAACCAGTAAGAAGATTTAGACAGGCTGCACCACACTTAATTTCATCACAGCCCTGATTCCTTTCCAGGGGAATTTCTCAGGGAAGGTATGCAATATCTTTTGTCCTACAAGAGATAAAAGGAGTGAGAAGAGAGCAGAGATCAGAGGGACCCACTATCACCAAGAAAGGAGAGCCAGGAGTGCCTCCTTTGGACCTGGGGGATCTCTGTACTGTGAAGCTCCTAGATCCAGGGGAAGATTGATGCCAAGACCCATGGAGATCACCAAGGAATGCTGGACCCACAGATACTGAAAGGTGACAAGGACCAGATGTTTTCCCAGAATCGACAAAGAGAGAGCCTGCACTGGGAATGTGGACTAGCCTCCTAAATTGTGAGAGAATGCATGTCTGCTTCTTCAAACCATGCACTTGTGGTCTTTCTGTTATAGCAGTTCTGAGAATTAGGACCATGCAAATGGTACAAAAGTGTTGTTTTCTTTATATGGATCACTGCTAAACCAGAGTTTGGCAATGGATGGCTTTTTTTTTTTTTTTTAAAGTACAACATTCTTTTAATTTGAAAATATGTCAAATTCATTTAATTCAGTTGTTATTGTTGTTAAGTGCCATCAAGTTGGTTCCGACTCACAGTGACTCTGTGTAAGGTTTCTGAGGAGTGGCTGGTTGGTGCAATTAGCAGTGGGAGTCCTGGTGTGGTGCTGTGGGTTAATGTGCTAGACTGCAAAGTCAGTTTGAACTGTAAGGTTAGTGGTTCAAACTCACCAGTCGCTCCTTGGAAACCCTCTAGAGGGTCGCTATGGGTCAGAACTGACTCGACGGCATTTAACAACAACAACAACCGATCCTACATCAGAATGCCACATCAGAACGCCAGTGAATTCAATAGTAGTTATTAAGCACTTGCTCAGTGCGGGGCAACTTGGGACTGACATACAGGACAAAGGCCATTGTCTAGTAGGCCATCCATAAATCCCTTCCTCACCCCTGTTCAAGTCTCCGACATGACTGACCAAACAGCCTATCAGGCAAGTGTCCTCCTGCCTCTTGATGTTGACCACAGAGACAAATATTGAGAATTAAACAAACTTCTTAAATATGACAACTATGGAATGCAATGTTAAAACATCAAACAAGTGAAAAGGAGTCTTCTAGTCCTTTATTTCTTAGCTAATGCATTCCATGATACATTAAAAACAACAACGAAACCTGCAAAGGCAATGTTTATTCCAATATCATTGCCATAGAAAGGATAGAGCGCTTCAGGAGGCTTGAACCTGTCCCTCCCCCAGCTGGTAAGGTTCTGTGACAATGTGTTCCTCTTTCGTGCCTACTCACGTCAGGGTCCAGCTCATCCAGCTCGTTTTCCAGGGTCCTGAGCTCATCCTCTGTTAGGGCTCCAAGGATTTCATCTTCATCCAGATCACGGTATTTCTCTAGTTCCCGTCTGTACGACATTGTGGAAAAACTTATCTTTGCCTTATCTTTTCTGCAGACCTGTCACCTACCAGGGGAAAAAAAATCCAAAACCCTTAGAAAGAACCTTCTTGGACAAGAATGATGCTCTCAATGTTTCAAATGGATGTTCATCATTCACATGGTGCCTTGGGCATATTTTATAAAGAGCTAGTACAATAATTTGGACTAATTCTCTGATAAAACTGTACAAGGTAAAAGTCCATAGGATATTGTGATTTAATGAGTTGTAATTGGCATGCTCCATTGATTCCAAGTAAATGAGTGATTATAAATGACTTAAGAGTGACTGAAAACAATTTTGATTCTTCAAGTAGTTTGAATATTTTCCCACACAAACCCCTACCCTTCATCCCATGCCCCAGTGAGAACCATGAATGTCCAAACTGCCCAAACTGATTCTTAAAAAAGAGGGTCATCAGTATTTAATTAAGCATGTACTATATACAGGCCCTACAATGTCTCATTTAATCATCACAAAAAATATCTGACAATAATAGCTTAAAGACTTTTTGTGGTATATGTTGTTGCTGTTGTTAAGTGCCATTGAGTTGATTCCAACTCATAGTTGGTTCCAACCTATGTAGGGTTCCTGATGAGTGGCTGGTGGGTTTGAACCACCGACCTTGCAATTCAAACTGACCTTGCGGTCCAGCGCATTATCCCCCAACACCATACTAGAATTCTCTCTCTCTCTCCATGTATATGTACAAATATATATAAATCCTCATCACTGGACCAATAAACAACATCCATATAAATGGAGAAGAGATTGAAGTTGTCAAAGACTTCATTGCTCAGATCAACCATCAACATTCACGGTAGCAGCAGTCAAGAAATCAAACAACACATTACATTAAGCAAATCTGCTATACAATACGTCTTTAAAGTGTCCAAGAGCAAAGATATCAGTTTGAGGACTAAGGTGCGCCTGACACAAGCCAGGGTATTTTCAATAACCTCATGTGCATGTGAAAGTTGGATAGAGAGTAAGGAAGACCATAGAAGAATTGGTGCATTGGAGTTATAGTGCTGGAGCAGAATATTAAAAGTGCCATGGACTGCCCAAAGAACAAACTGATCTGTGTTGGAAGATGTACAGCCAGAATGCTCCCTGGAAGTCAGGATGGCCAAACTTCGTCTCTCATACTTCGGAAGGACCAATCCCTAAAGAATGATATCATGTTTGGAAAGTGGAGGGTTGGGGAAATACAGAAAGATGCCCAACAAGATGGATTGACACAGTGGCAGCAGAAATAGTCTCAAACCATAACAATTGTTGGATTGACACAGAACCTGACAGTGTTTTGGTCTGTTGTGCATAAGGTCGTTATGAGTTGATACCAACTCAATGATACCTAGTAACTTAGATAATAACATATAACAAAATATTTTCCAATATAATAGCAACTTTTATTATGATGTGCCAGGCAGTGCGTTAAGCGCATCACAAAGATATTCTCATGTGTATGACCCATGCGGTAAGTGTTCATTGTTATCTTGGTTTTACAGATAAGAAAATTGAGGTCTAGAGAGTGTTAAGTGATTCGCCCACAACCACACTACCAGGAAATGGCAGAACCATAATTTGAACCCAGATCCATGCTTTCAGCATCTCCATTGCTTTAGCCATAATATCACAACACATTTTTTCATAGAATCATTTGATATAGAGCAGAAAGGGGGATTTCCTAATTTGGACCCCTCATTTTACTCCCAAGGAAGATGGCCCAGAAGGAAGAAATTATGTACCTAGGATCACTCGAGGCACTCACTCATGTATCCTAAGAAATTTGGAAAACAACTACCTAGACAATTGATTGGAAGAGCTCCATAGTTGTGCCCATTCCAAAGAGAGGTGACCCAATGGAATGTGGAAATCATCAGACAATATCATTGATATCCCATGCGAGTAAAGTTTTACTAAAGATAACAAAGAATTGGCTGCAACCATACATTGACAGAGAACTTCCAGAGGTTCAAGTCTGTTTCAGAAGAGGATGTGGAATGAGGGATATCATTGCTGATACAGATGGATGTTGGCTGAAAGCAGAGAATGTCAGAAAGATGTATATTTGTGGGCTATTGACTATACAAAGGCTTTCGATTGTGTGGATCATGACAAGATATGGATAACATTGCAGAGAACGAGTACTCTGGAACACATTGTGCTCATGAGGAACCTGTACATAGACCAAGAAGGAATGAATGCTTTAAAATTAAGAAAGGTGTGCACTAAAGTTATATTCTTTCACCATACTTATTCAATCTTTGTGGTGAGCAAGTAATCTGAGAAGCTGGATTATATGAAGAAGAATGTGGCATCAGGATAGGAGAAAGGCTCATTAACAACCTGAGATATGCACATGATACAACCTTGCTTGCTGAAAGTGAAGAGGACTTAAAATACTTACTGATGAATATCAAAGACCACAGCCTTTTGTATGGGTTGCACCTCAATGTGAAGAAAACAAAAATCCTCACCACTGGACCAATAAACAACATTCCTATCAACGGAGAAAAGATTGAAGTTGTCAATGACTTCATTTTGCTTGGATCAGCCATCAACCCTCATGGAAGCAGCAGTCAAGAAATCAAATGACGTATTTCATTGGGCAAATCTGCTGCACAAGACCTCTTTAAAGTGTTGAAGAGCAAAGATGTCAGCTTGAGGACTAAGGTGAGCCTGACTTAAGCCATGGTATTTTCAATAATATGCATGTGAAAGTTGGATAGTAAATAAGGAAGACTGTAGAAGAATTGATGCATTTGAGTTATGGTGTTGGAGGAGAATATTGAAAATACCATGGATTGCCAAAAGAACAAATAGATCTGTGTTGGAAGAAGTACAGCCAGCCTGCTCCTTGGAGGCCAGGATGGCCAGACTTCGTCTCTCATACTTCGGATATATTGTCAGAAGGGACCCATCCATGGAGAGGGATATCATGTCAAGTGGAGGGTCGGAGAAACAGAGGAAGACCCCCAAAGAGATGGATTGGCACAGTGGCAGCATCAATGGGTTCAAAGGTAGCAACGATTTTGAAGTTGGCCCAGGATCAGGCAGTTTCCTTTTGTTGTGCATAGGATTGCTATGAGTTGGTATTGACTTGATGGTACCTAACAGCAACAACAACAGGGGTACTCAAGGAGACCAGTGTCTAGATCCCCATGTCCTAGTAAAGGCTCTCTTTGGCTAGAAAAGGCTATTTTTTGCAGTTCATGGAAAATACCTAACACCTGTGTTTAAACCTTGCTTTTGCTATTTCCCATTTGATCCTCACATACCCTGTAAGTTGGGTCTTCTCATTTAAACCATTTAATTATTGAGGTCTCTTCCACAGTCGGCTTCTGGCCTTGTTCTGACTGATGATATTGAGTGTCTCCATAGTCTCTTTGCACAGATATAATCAATTTGGTTGGGTATTCCATCTGGTGAGGCCCATTTGTATAGTTATGGTTTATGTTGTTGAAAAAAAACGGTATTTGCAATGAATAAGTCATTGGTCTTGCAAAATTCTGTGACCTCCAGTGCCATTTCTATCACGAAGGCCATATTTTCGAACATCTTTGTTTCCAATATAAGCTTTCCAATTACCAGTAATTATCAAGCCTCTTGATTGCAAGATTTGATCAAAATCAGACTGCAGAAGTTGATGTTGTTTTTGTTATTAGGTGCCATTGAGTAGGTATCAACTCATAGCTACCCTGTGCACAACAGAACGGTCCTGGACTAACCTCACAATTGTTGCCACGCTTGAGTCCATTGATGTTGCCATTGTGCCAATCCATCTCACTGGTGGTCTTCCTCTTTTTCTCTGACTTTCCACTTTACCAAACATGATATCCTTCTCTAGCAGCTAGTCCCTCCTGACAATACGTCCAAAGTATGAGAGATGAAGTTTGGCCATCTTGGCCTCCAAGGAGCACTCTGGCTGCACTTCCAACACAGATCTGTTTGTTTTTTGGCAGCCTATGGCACCTTCAATATTCTCCTCCGACACCGTAACTCAAAAGCATCAATTATTCTACAGTCTTCCTTATTCACTGTCCAGCTTTTGCATGCATATGAGGTTATTGAAAGTACCATGGCTTGGGCCATGCACACCTTAGTCCTCAAGCTGACACCTTTGCTCTTCGACACTCTAAAAAGGTCTTGTGCAGGAGATTTGCCTAATGCAATACGTTCTTTGATTTCTTGACTGCTGCTTCCATGAGTGTTGATAGTTGATCCAAGAAGAATGAAGTCCTTGAAAACTTCAATCTTTTCTCCGTTGAGAAGAATGTTGTTTATTGGTCCGGTGGTGAGGATTTTTGTTTTCTTTACATTGAGATTGATAAGAAGTTGATAAGAATCTTCAATTTCTTCATCACTGGCATTAGTTGTTGGTGCATAAATTTGAATGTTATATCAACTGGTCTTCCTTCTATGCATATGGATGTTTCAAATTTTTCTAGATTAATACTTCATGCGTTCCATGTTCCTATTGTTAATGAGCATTTTGAGTCATGCTACATCAGCAAATGAAGGTCCTGAAAGCTTCCATTCATTGATGTCACTAAGTTCAGTTCTACTTTGTGGAGGCAGCCCTTTTCCTGTTGCATTTTGAGTGTCTTCCAACCTGAGGGCTTCAACTTCTGGTACTAGATCATAAGGTTTTCATTAGTCATTTTTTTTTAGAAGTAGACTGCCAAGTCTTGCTTCCTACTCTTTCTTAGTGAAGAAGATCGACTGAAGTCTGTCCACCATGGGTCACTCTTCTGGTATTTGAAATACCAGTGGCATAGCTTCCAGCATCACAGCAACAT